CTCTGAATAATATTACTTTTACGAAGCAATGTAATGTAAAATTCAGTAAAAATACGGCCCACGTATCATTTGCTTTGTTATTTATCCTTACGTGATCATCGTTTCATCAAAAAACTCCATCTATCTTATGATATGCGATTGTCATACTCCAGCCAAAATTCATCTACACCTGCAGACTGGCATGTTTTCTTGTGATAGTCCGAGAATCGCTTGTTTATTTCATTACTTTTTACTCGTTTTTTTCGTCATCTACCACAATGGATTCGGCTGTTTCTTGTTATTTATAAATGGTTAATATGCTATTATTTGATTTTGCTTTTATCATATATCACTTTTTAATTATTTTATGATTATGAACTATATCTTCCCCACTTAGGCTTGTGTGGATGTACTATCTAGTAATTCCTGGCTAGGTCCTGCTCTTGCTGCTATGGAATTCTCCCAGATGGTCACTCAGGCAGTTTGGCATAAGGACTCATATCTGAGACAGTTGCCTCACTTTACTCAAGAGCGAATAGAGCGTGCTAAAACAGAGGCTAATGTTGAAACGGTTTTTGATATGATGGAGCTGGACGATGATAAGCGCAATTTGCTTCTCTCTGGTCTTTCGCATGCTCAGATGGCAGATGTTGCTCGATTCTGTAATCGATATCCCAACATTGAATTAACGTATGAAGTAGTGACTTTGTCTGGGGAACAGAGCGCTATAAAGCATCCAATGAAAGTGTAAGTATTATTACATTGCTTTCGCACTAACTTAATTAATTATATAAGTATAATTACAATAATAACAATCTTAAAGAACCTTTTTGACCTAGTGTTAACGTGAAACTTTTACAAGAATGAGTTCCAGATATAATGATAATCTAAAGGTCAGCCCGTTTTCATCCGAACAAGGAAGGATGCCTTGTGGACATCGCATCTAAACGTCGTATTAAAAACAAACGACTTCAGTTCATCTTATTATCTCTTGGTGGTCTTAAACTCCTACATATTGATTGTGTTGAGCAGAGATAGGTTAAATTGAAACTGCAGTCCATCCTGGATGATAAGACAAAGTTAAATGTAAGGGCATCTTATTTTATCAAAACTCATGAGTCCTTAAATTGCCTTTGTGGTCTGCTTAACTCAATAAGCAGTTTTAGTTCTTCACCCATTAGCTAGTTATATAGACGACAACTTTCCTTTCATCACTTTACACGAAACGGAATGAACTCAACTCATTTTATAAGAGATAGTTAAGATTTCTCCTAAACTAATAAGAGTAGTAGATGGGGTTAAGGGGGTTCGCTCTAGATGTATAACAGGGTTATATTTTACCCTTACTCGATGTCCTGCTTGGTAAAGAGCGTCGATTGGGAAGGCCATTGACATTTTTGCGAAAGATATTTACTAAACTGGAGATTAGAAGAAGACAGAATTAGAGTTAACCTTACCTATTGCTTAAGCAAACTCGGAAATAACTGAAATGCCGCATGATCAGCATATAGAAGGCGGATGGATCAAGAAATAATCACAGGAATAAAGGGACAACCGTCAGGGAAATTTAACATTACCGTCACGCTGATTAGAAATCTACTTAAGAAGCAGCAGTGATGGACGTCCAAAATCTGCTCATGGTACATGGGTTTACTCTAGTATACGACTCGTGATGATAACCATGGGAATCAGAGCCTTGCTAAGCTAGGTGAGGCGACACTGTAAGTGCTACTAAAGGCTTGATAAATAGCTCGAGTAAAACGTATGCTGGAACTGGAATCGCCCCTAAATAGTAGAAACAAATCCGATAGCCCATGAATAATAAGTCCAAGTTGACTCATCAAATCTGGAGGAAAGGAGGGCAAGGCAAAGAGATGCGATGACACCACATTAAACTCGACAAAAAAAGCCACACATATTATTCGAATATAAACAAGTCATAAGTTTTGATATGGCTGGATTGAAATAGGAGAGTATGGAGTAGAGAGACCAGGACAAAAAATGAGTGAGCACGACCACTGCAGAAAGTTAGTCGAGGTATTCATTTATCTTGCTTCTTTAGGTCATAGCCCATCTCTAAGATTGGAAATATTTACTGACGATGCTGATTACGGTGTTGACGAAACGTCTGGAAATGCACCAAGCTAACAGTACAACGCTGGGAGTTCTGATAACTACTCTATCAATTTGCGTTCAATTAGGTTTCTCTGACAAGACGACCGCGTTGCCAAAAACTAGTTGATCACTCCACTTAGGAATTTTAGCTTAGCTTGGATCATCTTGACTAGTAATATAGCGGCACTGGTAGCGCCACTTATTGTCTCGATTTGTTAACCATAGCGTCATTAGCATGAAAGACTTCGTGGTCAGCCTATATGAGAATACGTTTTAGGAAGAAAATATCTAAAATTTCAATGACAACTCGAGGCCTACTCATATCATTGTATGAACATTCATTTATAGCAAATAAATGGGGTGGATAATGTTCTTATTCAAGATCTGCTGGTGGTCTCGAAACCCTAATCAAAAACTACAATGAGTATTATAGCTTATTGTAGTAACAAATGCAACTGCTTCTTTGTCAATATCATCACAGAAATGTGATGTGAAAAAGATATAGGCTTCCTCAAAATTAACTTCTAAACTGGCACTCAAGACGAAGTGGTTAGTGTCAAGGTTATGCAGGACTCCACTAGGTTTCAAATCCTGCCGAGGTCGATGATGGTCTGCAGTTCATTTTGTATTAGAAATCATTTTGCCAAACACGCCTATACGAAATCAATGAAAAAAGGACACTTACTATAATAGTTGTAAAAAAATTTAACAATCAATAATTTATCACTTTAAACGAAATTTAGCGAACAGTGCCTAAACCTAACCTACGACGAAAATGAAATAACTATATTCTTAATCACCTTGTTCACAATTTACTCATCTTTTAGTAAATTATTTAAGCGACCTGTCATTATAATCCTTTAATATTTTAGAGGGGACTCCGTTTCCGTTAAAGTTTCTTTGGAGCGCGAAGATGATAATCTTGGTCCAGTCGTTGCTCCCTTTTTTCCCCAGGCAAGTCGTTCATGGTATTTCTAGGTGATCTCAGTCTTAGTATCCTTACTTATTTATCTACATTCCTTTAATCTCGTGTTATATACAATATTATTTATTTATAACAGATGATTAACATGTTTTTGTGGTATGAAAGAGATCAAACCATCTTATCACAGTCAACGCTCAATTCTATACTGTGCACTTCATTATGCTTATTTTATTATTTACTTTAAATTTCGTCCTTTCATGAAAACGATTCTTATCTGCCTTCTTCATTATGAAGTTTTCTATTTTTACCCAAAACTATTCTGTATATTTACTACATTTTGTGACTAGTTTAGTTATTCTCATAATTGATCAACTAAAATCCTCACGCTAAACTCTCTGTGATAATTAAGTGAGCGGATTTTTGCCTCGTATAAAACAGGATATATTTCCAATCAATCTTTTTATGAAATATTACTTTTTGCCCATAGGACTATTACTATGTTTAACCCTAAACCTCTTCCTTAATCCTCTTT